AATGGTCGCGACGCGGAAACAGAATGTCACGGAGATGGTGCGTCACGAAATCGGTGGACATGGATCGACCTGGGGTGGATAATTCATGCCCCCCCGACACCTCATCCAAACCTCTGCAGCCTGACCAGCTCTACTTGGCATCGCCTGTGTGGTCGTATGACCAAAGCCTTACCGCAGATCTCGGACTTGACCGTCTTAGGTCACGAATACAAGAAGCGGGATGTCTGGACCAAAGCCTTACCGCAGATATCGAGTTTGACCGTCTTGGGTCGCGAAAACACTGTGCAGTCTCACCATAATTCTACAGCTGTTGCTAGGAGGCCATCGTTGACAAAAAAGATAAGGTAGCTAGAAGCCGAGAGAGGAGGTAGAGGGCGGAGTTCGTGCGCGAACGTTAGTAAGCGACGCGAACAGAGGGCTCGAACGAACAACCTAAGCGAAAGGCTCGACAAAATAGGCGTTGGCACAGTGAGCTTGGTGGAGGCCTCCCGTCTTCTACCTTCCACTCCCTCTCTCTACCCCCTCCCTTCTTTTCTACCTCTCCCCCCCTCTCCTCCCCACCGATCCTCCATGTTGCGCGCCCAGCGCCGGGCCTTGACCCCACCGGCGCGTGAGTTGCACGCACTGCTACGGCGCATGAGATGCAGTGGTGTCGGATGCTCTGGAAGAGCGAAGCTGGAGCCTTGGCGTGCGCGGATCTGCACCACCTGGTTGCTCCAGCACTGCTAGAAGGCGCAAGGGAGAAAGGCCACTGATTTCCGTTGGCGGCGAGCGAGGGGGGGAAGTGAGAAGGAGAAGGCTTTCTCAAAGGCGGCGGGGCTTCTCATAAGTTTTCAGGCCGTCTGAGAAATGTTCTGCGACTTCGGGGAAAGCTCAGGGCACTTCTCAGAAGGCCGGGGGGCTTCCGAGCCGTCAGAGAAGGCCTTCTCCTTCTCACTTACCACCTCGCTCGCCGCCGATTAAAACGGGAAAGACGACGTGATACGATTGACTCGGTACACGCCCCAGTCATTCTGGAGTATCCAGCGGCCCTGATTTCTGGAGCCTGTGCCGAACAACAGGAGATCCGAGAATTGATTACTGGAGGTCTGTGAACTCTTGGCGCGCACAATTATCACTACTCCCTGCAAGTAGAAGACGGGATCGCCTACAGAATCGCTTTACCCCAAAATTGGAATGTTCGTCGAACCTAGGAGTCAAACGTAGAATGATCGTAGATCTACGGACTTTCTCCGACATCCTCGCAAATTCCAGAAAAAAAAGCAAATGATTTTTGGGCCATATCCACTATGCAGTCGATCCCCTACTCGACTCTTGCTCCTCTGGCGCCTGGGCCAGGAAGACTGGCCCCCTCGCGCCCGCTGCCGCGGATACGCGAGCCGCGCCTCGCCACGGATTGGCGGCGCGCACAGGGGGGGAGGGGAGAGGGGGGAGGGCTGCTTAAAGGAGGCCGCTTCTGAGAGGGCGCCGGCCCTACATCTGCAGACAGGGCCCGCGCCTTTTCATGAGCAGGGGCGCGTCTGAGAAGCCTTCCCTCCTCCCCCTGCCCCCTGAGACTCGATCCTAGACCCCATCTCTCTGCAGCATGCTTTGAGCCGGATCGATCTCTGAAGGTCGCGGGGCCCGAAAGCAGGCGAAAACGCCCGGCCCGGAAAAAAGGAGGCGCCAGGATCTCGGGGAGTCCCCCTCTGCGCGCGTGGCCGAACGGAGGTGTCCCTCAAGCTCGTGCAAGCTGGACTGCCGCAGAGGGTCGAAGCGGTATTCGCAGAGCGCGCGGGTGCTGCTGCAGGGACCCGCGCCCGCGTTCGGCGTGGTTTCGCGGCCTGCCCCTCGAGTAGGAGATCGACTGCAGAATGGAGTTACCCCATAATTGACGGCAGGAGATCGACTGCAGACCGCAGTTGTTCGTCACGACTACAGAATACCTCAAACTTGGAGCCTATTTAGAATACGAATGAAAGAAAAAAAACCATTCCGCCGTCGGGGACGCCTGCCCCCGGGCGGCTACAAAATGTATGCCCCCACGGTGCCACGTAGGGGTATTAACTTTGCAGCCGAACGGGGCAGGCGTCCCCGACGGCGGATAAGTTTATTCCCAACCAACCTGTCGTTGGGTCCTCTTGTTGAAGAGACAGCGCCCCGCGTCACTCACTCCTTCTTTCCTTCTGTCCTTCTTTCCTCCTCCTCCTCCTCGACCGCCTCCCTCCTCCCATCCCTGCCTCTGCCCTCCGAATGTCCGCGTCGTCGTCGCCCTCCTCCATCAGCATCGGCATAAGCATCAGCATCAGCATCAGCATCAGCATCAGCATCATCATCATCATCATCATCATCATCATCATCATCATCATCATCATCATCATCATCATCATCGTCATCATCATCATCATCATCATTATCATCAGCGTCACCATCATTATCATCCTCATCATCAGCAGCAGCATCATCATATCATCATCATCATCATCATCATCATCATCATCATCATCAGCAGAAGCAGCAGCAGCATCATCATCATCATCATCATCATCATCAGCATCATCATCATCATCAGCAGCCGCATCATCATCATCATCAGCAGCAGCATCAGCCTCATCCTCATCATCAGCATCCTCATCAGCTTCATCATCGTCATCAACATCGTCAGCGTCAGCATCGTCGTCATCATCATCATGATCATGATCATGATCATGATCAGCATACGTAATCATCATCATCAGCAGCATCATCATCAGCATTAGCAGCATCATTATCATGATCGCCATCACCATCACCTCACCAAAATCAGCATCACCATCACACTCACAATTTGCATCACCATCACCATTATCATAATCGTCGTCATCATCATCCGCAGTATCCTCATCCTCCTCCTGATCATCATCAGCAGCATCAGCATCATCAGCGTCAGCATCAGCATAGGCATCATCATCAGCATCATCGTCATCATCAGCATCATCAGCATCATCAGCATCATCAGCATCATCACCATCATCACCATCACCATCAACATCACCAGTATCAGCATCGGCATCAGCCTCATCAGCCTCATCCTCATCCTCATCCTCCTCATCATCATCCTCATCATCAGCATCATCAGCATCATCATCAGCAGCATCATCGTCATCGCCATCATCATCAGCAGCATCATCAGCTGCATCAGCATCATCATCAACATCGTCGTCGTCATTGTCGTGATCCTCATCAGCATCATCAGCATCAGCAGCATCATCATCAGCATCATCAGCATCATCATCAGCAGCAGCATAATCCTCATCACCATCATCCGCATCATAATCAGCAGCATCATCATCATCGTCATCGTCATCATCATCAGCAACAGCATCATCAGCATCGTCATCATCATCGTCGTCGTAGTCGTCGTCATCCGCGCGTCGTGGTCCCACAGGAAGGTCCACCTAAGGCCCCAGTGACAGTGCCCACATGCGTCTCCCCCACCCAGCACAGCGCTGCGTGGCCCCATAGGGAGCTCCACGTAAGGCCCCAGGACCGTTGTCCACATGCGCCTCCCCCACCCAGCACGGCGCTTCGCGGCCCCATGGGGAGGCCCACCTAAGGCTCAAGTGGCGGTGTCCGCATGCGTCGCCACCACACAGCCAGCGCTTCGTGGCCCCAAGAGGAGCTCCACCGAAGGCCCAAGTGGCGGTGTCCACATGCGTCCCCCCCACTCAGCACGGCACTCCGTGGCCCCATGGAAAGCTTCACCGAAGGCCCCAGTGGCGGTGTCCACACGCGTTTTCCAAACTCAGTGCAACTTCTCGTGGCCCCATCGGGAGGCCCACCTACGGCCCCAGTGGCGGTGTCCGCATGCGTCTCCCCCACCCAGCAGGGCGCTTCGTGGCCCCATCGGGAAGTCCAAGGCCAAAATGGCGGTGTCCACATGCGTCTCCCCCATCCAGCACGGCGCTTCGTGGCCCCGTAAGGAGCTCCACCGAAGGCCCCAGTGGCGGTGTCCACGTGCGCCTCCCCCACCCAGCACGGCGTTTCGTGGCCCCATCGGGAGGCCCACCCAAGGCCCCAGTGGCGGTGTCCGCATGTGTCGCCCCCACACAGCCAGCGCTTCGTGACCCCATAGGGAGCTCCACCGAAGGCCCCAGTGGCGGTGTCCCCGTGCGTCTCCCCCACTCAGTACAACGATTCGTGGCCCCGTAGTGTGCCCCACTGGAGGTCTCAATGGCACCGTTCACACGCGCCCCCCCAAACCAAAACAAAGTTTCGTTGCCCCATACGGAACTCCACCGAAGGCCCCAGTAACAAAGTCCACATGCGTTTCCCCCACCCAGTACGGCGCTGCATGGGCCCCATCAGGAGCTCCTCCAAAAGCCCCAGTGGAACCGTTCACGTGCGGTTCCCCGCCCAGTACAGCGCTTCGTGGCTCCGTGAGGTGCTCCACGAAAGCCTCAATGGACCCGTTCACATGCGTCTCCCCCGCACAGTACAGCGTTTCGTGGCCCGTAGGAAGCTCCACCGAAGGCCCAAGTGGCAAAGTTCGCATGCGTACCCCCCGACCAGTACAGCGTTTCGTGGCCCATAGGGAGCTCCACTGAAGGCGATACCCACAACCACGGCATTGACAACTGCATATGGTTGGGTCCTTCGCCAAGACAATGTTATACCGTTTCTCCCCCGTTGACCTATCCTCTCCCGACTTGCCATCGCTCCGACGTCAATTTCCCGTGCATCGTTCGCTGTCGTCCGTGATAGCTCTTCCGCTCCATGCTTTTGGATGCTCCTCGAGGGCCCTCGCCGAACGAAAAAACAGAAGCACACGCCCGCGCGATGCTGGAACGGGTGAGGGGTATGCTGCAACGGGTGATGATAATGATGATGGTGATGGAGGAGGGAGAAGGGGGAGGAGGAGAGGAGAGAGAGGAGAACGCGGGGCGACGTCTCTTCAAAACGAGGACCCAACACCAAAGGATGGTTGGGAACAAGAGCACACGCCCGCGCGATGCCGGGCCGAAGGCCTCGAAAAAAACACCAGGCCTGGCCTCCCCCGGCAGCCGCGGGCCTTCTCCTCCTCCTCCCTCGTGGTGCGCACCGCGCGGTCGAAGTCCGACTTGATCACCTCGCCGGCGGGGCGGGCGGCCCCCGCGGCGGGCGCCGCAGGGCCGCCGCCCAGGGGGGGGGGGGGGGGAACGCAAGGGACGAGGCTCACGAACGAGACGAGGCCAGGCCGAGGACAACATCGTGGGAGAGCAAAGGGGCGACTTCGAAGACCCTGAACCCGACCTCGTCTTCGCCCCTTGGGGGCGCATGCTATACTTCCGACGCCTGCCGCCGAGCTTCCGCCGGCGGAGGCGACCTCGATTTACTTCCGCCGACCTTCCGCCGCCCTTCCGCCGAGGAAGAGATGACAGCTCATTCGATCCTCAAAAGCACGGCCCCTTTTTGGAACGCCCCGAATCTAGAATCTCTGAGTTCCGGCATGTCTCAAGCCCCCAGCGGCAGGCGCCGCAGGGCCGCAGCCCCAGGGGTGGCAAAACAGCATCTTGCCACGCAGGACACGGTACAATCGAACCTGGGGCAAAGGAACATCCCTCAAGGATCCGAGACCCTCCGCCTGCCAAAGAGTCAGACCGTCCAAGGGTACCCTCCCCAGGGTGCAAAAGAACATCCAACAAGCACGAAGAACATCAGGGTACCCTCCCCGAACCGACCTCGGTCTTAATCCTCGGTCCGACTGTAAACGACATCGGCCGAGGCCCCCGGAGTGGCGGCGCGGTGTCAGAATGGTTTCCAGGTTGGCCGGCTACGACGGCCCCGCTAGGGCCACCGCCCCAGCGGGGGGCTCTGGAATCAGAAAGGTGCCGCGGGAACCACGCCCTGGGCAGACTTAGGGGCCATGTCGCTGTCTTCCCGACCAGAGGGGGGAAGAAAGGAACGAGGATAGTAAAGGGCTTGAGGACTTCTGCTGTCCCTCGACTCGCGCCGTAGCGTCAACGAGCTGCTCACGTCCCTGGAGATCTTTCGGTGTTCATCGATGTGTCCGGGCGTGTCCGGATGTGCCACAACCTGCACGCCTGTACCTCCACCTATCTGACCAGATCCCCGCGGGTCGATTGGCGAAAAGCCGTCAGGCCCCGAGGGCAAGGAGGGGGGCGGTGCTGGAATATGCTGGAGAGCGCACGCGCGGAGGCGGCGGGCCCGCTGCCGAAGTCGCAGTCGTCGGGGAGCGGCGGCAGGCCGCGCGCGGGCCGCGCGCGCCCGCGCGCGCCCGCCCCGTGTCGGCCGCCTGGCCCTGCGTAGCCTCATGAGCCTCCAAGCGAGCATGATCAGCCTCAAAGAGCTCCTCGGGGCCTGGAGCCGGCGACCCCTGCACTCCTCAAGCCAGGCCTCCACAGCAAGAAGGGTCTTCGACGCCTTGGCGAGCTTGGCCTGCTTCTGGGCACAGAGAGATGTGGCTTGACGGAGGACCACGTACGGGCACTGGGGTTTCGGCGTGGGCTTGGCACGCTCAGCAACTGCTGGAACCTGCTGCACAAGGGACAGGGCACCAGCATCCGCTGCGAGACACGTGGGCCAGAGGTACTGCTGCAGCAACTTCTCTGGCTGGGGCGGGGCCTGCGGGAGCGCAGGCCACTCCTCCTGCGACGAGAGCCAGCCAGTCTAGGAAGAGCTGGGGCTGTTGCTGCTGGGACCACGCTGCCACGGGTGCCTGACGAAGACGGACTGGTGGGCACCACAACCCTTGCAAAGTCCCTTCTGTCGAGCCCAACGCCAGTCCCAAGCCCAACTGCCACAGGACGAGCAAGTAGAGTACGTGTCCCTGCGGACAGCCGAAACATTGCCCTTCTGGCGTGGCATCGAAAGCGGGCCGCCAGTGAGCCAGTGAGGTGCTGGCTGGAAGAGGAAATGGATGTCGAGCTAAACAGCTCTTGCACTGGCCGCGGACTAGCGGTATCCGTGCGTTCCGCAGGGGAACTCATAGCCTTGAGCCAAAATGGCTACGGAGGGAAAGGATGGGGAAAGGAGAGGGGGAAAGGAGGCGAGAAGAGGCGGGGGGAAGCGCGGGGATGGCGGACGCGATCCAGGCGGACTGCTAAGAGCCGAGCAGTCATCTACAGGTCCGCCTGCCTCCTCCTCCCTCCCTGTCCCACTCCTCCCTTGATCGTTCCCCTCCCCTCTGGGAGGAGGGATGGGGGAGGAGCGGAGGAGCGGAGCAGATCTGCACACGTCGGTCGGAAGAGGCAGGCGAAAGCATGACGCAAAAAAAGGCGGATACAGAGTAGATTGGGCTCAGGCCCTCCCCGAGCATAACAAGCACGGCAAAAGCACATCGCATCTTGAAGCAGGAAGGCGCTTGGAGTAGGTACTAAGACTATGGGAACTCCGATAACTTCCAACGACCGTCGTGTAATGGCTGCCCTCCTCCGAGGATCGGGACTGCCCGAAAAAAAGACAAAGAGAGAGAGAGAGAGAGAGAGATTAGCATCGGGGGGAAAACGGGTCCTGAGAGAAACGGGTCCTCGACCCCAGGGCCTCCCCCCAGGACGAGATCCTCACCCCGAGCCGCTTTCTGACGGCCCCGGGGCTCGTGGAGGGCCCTGGGAGCCCGAGAACGGCAACAACCAAAGAAACCTCAGGGCCGGCGGGAGAGAGGCGAAAGGGGGGGCGGGGAGCTGAGGCGTGGCGGCGGGGGAATGTGGCGGCACGAGGAGAGGGGCGCGGACAGGGCTGGCCCCGAAGAGGGCGGCGGGGGCAGGCCGGCGGCAGGGTGCCGCCTCGAGGAGCCCGACGATGCCCCTGGCGCCGTCGGCCTTTCCCCGGTAGGAGCCGGAGAACCCGGGCCCCTGGGTGTCCTAGGGGGCACCGCTGCGGATCTTGGCCTTCTCCCTCCGCCAGCACCCCCAGTGCCCTCCCCTCCCACAACCCCTCAGCCCGGCAACTGCCACCGCCCTGGCAACTGGCACCACCACTACCACCTTTCGTCCCCCCTTCCCTCTCTCCCCTCCCCCCTCCCTTCCCACCCCTTCCCCCCTCCCTCCCTTCCCACCCCCTCCCCCCCACCCTTTCCACAGCAAACACCCCCTTCCCCTTCCCTTTCCCCTATCTCCCTCCCGTACCCCGTTCCCTCTCCACTAAGGGATCGCCTTCCGTCCTGAATCTGCCTTTCCTCGCCCTGAGGCCCGAAAGCGGCCCCTGGGGACCGAAATCATTGAAAAAGCGCCAGTTGAGAAGATGACATCGTTGGAGATCTGGGTCCCTCTCGACCTCCCTCCCCCTCCCGCCCGTCCTCCCTCCCCGCCCCCCCGAGCTCCTCGTCGACCGGCGACGCTCTGGCCTGCAGAAACGCATTGGCCTTCGACTTGTAGTACGTCTGCGGATTCGGGCACACGGAAATCAGCACGGCGGAAGTGCAGGGCAAGCACAAGAGCACAAGCGCAGTGGTTGGAGTGCACACAGCGTCTGAAGCAACAAGCAGAAGCACGCGCCATTGCACCTCGTTCGGCCCGAGGACGATATCCCTCACACAAATCACTGAACGCTGGTAGAATCCAAATGCAGGCCCACCTCCCTCTCCCTCCCTCATCCCGGCCTCTTTTCCGTACCCTCCTTTCCTCCTCTCCCATGCTGCTTACGTTACTCTGCCACATCCTCCTCCCTCCTCATCCTCCTCCTTCTCCCTCCCTCCATCCCTCCATCCCTCCCTCTTCCCTTCCTCCTCCCTCCTCCCCCCTCCCTCTTCCCTCCTGCCTCCTCGCTCCTCCCTCATCCCTCTTCCCTCCTCCCTCCTGCATCCTCCCTCCTGCCTCCTGCCTCCTGCCTCCTGCCTCACTGCCGTTCCTGGCTCTCCTGCTCCTGCCGGTTCCGGTGCCTGCCTCCTCCCTTCTCCTCCCCCTTCATCCCTCCCTCCCTCCTCCCATCTCCTCCCCTCTACCTTCCCTCCTCCGTCCCTCCCCTCTGCTGCGCCTTGATCCCCCTCACGTTCACCTCCCTCCGCCACATCCCTCCCTTCTTCTCCTCCTCCTCCTCCTCCGCCCTCCTCCTCCGCTCCGCCTTGCTCCTCATCGTTTCTCCTCCTTCCCCTTCCTCCTCGCTCCCCTCCTCATCCTCCTCCATCCTCCTCCATCCTCCCTCCTCCTCCTCCTCCTCCTCCTCCTCCTCCTCCTCCTCCTCCTCCTCCTCCTCCTCCTCCACCTCATCCTTCTCGCCATCCCCACATCCATAACATCACCACCAACACTCCGGCCTTGAGGAGCACGATGGCCTCCGTCACGGAGGCGTAGCCCTCCTTCGAGACCTCGGGATAATTAGGAGAGTCTGGCCCCCCCACTCACTCTCCGCGCCCTCCGACCCTTCGACCCACCCCCCGTCACCACTTCCCTCCCTGCCTCCACCCCCGTCACCACTTCCCTCCCCGCATCCCCCCCAACCCCCTCCCCCTCTGTGGCTCCCCGACAAGCCCAACCCCTCCCCCACCGACCGGTTCCTGCCCCGACCCCCCAAAAAAAAAAAAAAAACACCCCGTCCTTCTATCGTTTCCTCCTGCCTCTCACCCTCCCCTCTCCCTCGCCCCAAGAATCCGCCCTGGAGGCGTGGGGGGGGGGGGGGGGGCAAAAAGGCACGCACGACTCGAATCGCGAGAAGAATCCAGCCATGGCGACGAGGGCTCTCCAGGACGAACCGCGGCATCGATGCGCCGTCCTCCTCTGACGCCCATCGCCTCTCCAGCCACCTCGCCAGGAAGGGCCCCGCAGAGGCTCCCCCGGCGGGCGGTCCTCGCCAACCCGCACGAGGGGGAAAGGGGGGTCGGCCGGCGTCTCGCCGCGAGGGGCCCGGCGAGCGGATCGGCATGCCGCCTGTCGGGGCGGCAGAGGCAGCGGCAGCTGGGGAAAAAAACGAAAGGGGGGGTCCCAAAACCATGTGGAGACAGAGCGCGCGGAAACCTCGGAATCCTGAGACCTGGGAAAACTGACTACCTACCAGACCACCCCAACCCAACCCGAAGACCCGAATTTCGGGTTGGGGGGGGTAAGGG